AAATAATGTACAAATTATTAGTGATTACAGGACTGATAGGCCTATCAGTGGCGGCGCATCGGTCAGTAAAAAAGTTTAGGTTTGTCAGTATTAAACGAGAAACACCACGTGAAGGTCAACCTAATGGTTTCTCACCCATTTTTATAAGTGGTTGCTTTCAGTGTATCCACAAAACGTCATTTTAAAACACAATTTAATTATTAAATATACATTTTAATGAGATTTTTGATATTGTTTGCGATTATCAACAATTTTATTAATATTTGACTCAATATCATTTCATGACCATATTTTCAAACGTGATCTTAATGTCTTCTCGCAAATACGATTAGTTTTGTCATTTTTAATCGATTTAATTAATGAAAAATATTGCTCACAATCAAAAGTCGATCCAAAATATGTTAAAATTGTTAATGCATTGTTTATTAATAATGGGAATTCGTTAATATTAAGTTACAAACTTTATGTGAACTTTACAAAATTACAAACAAATGTTACAAAATTTGTTAACACGTTGTGCCCCTTATATTAAATATAATTATATTTAATTATAATGTAAAATGTTAAATTCATAAGTTCATAAATATTTTTTATTGATATTGTTTTAGAAAAATATAGTATAAGCGATAAAATCAATGAACATTATACCAAAAAAATTAATTGAAATTATTATTAATATATGATATATTTTTAAACATAAAGTAGAGTTCAAAACCAGTAAACTAATCGCTCGGGTAAAGTAAATCTATCATAAAACTCATCGCCGATAGTTATAACCCCACGAACCGCCCGAAGAGTGTCCTCCACACTGACCCCCATTGAGTGCATTCGCATTGAAATCACCACTAATTACACCAGTTTTGGCTCCACTCACGTATCCGCTGACACCCGACGAACCCGTGGTTTGGGATCCGCTCGATGTCGACGACGAGGAAGACGAGGAGGTGGAGGACCAGGAGCTGGAATCGGATGAGTCCGACTTATGGGCCATTGTTTGGCCCGCAGTTATACCGTAAACGTGTCCATTCATGTCGCCTAAAAAGTCTTCACCACTAGTAGTAGCCGTTCCGGTGTTGACAGAGTGTCCGCCAACGGATCCAGTATTGGTTTGACCGGCAATTTGGGATTGACTTTGTCGATGACCAGTGGTTCCGATGCCACCCATTTGGCCGGTGATTACGGTCTCAGTATTGCTTCCGCTTTTGTGGTCAGAGTTGTGCGCACCCGACGATTGCGATGACCACTCGGACGACCACTCGTTGTTACCGTCAGTCGAGTGTCCCGATTGACCGCCAATAATACCGCCAACACTGCCAACGGTTCCGCAAATGTGTCCCTTTATGTCACTTGAAATGTCTTTTCCCGTTGTAGTGGCAGTTCCGGTGGTGACCGACACGTGTCCAGCAGTAGAACCGGTGTTGGTTTTATCAACAACTTGTGTGCTCTGGTGTTGACCATTGATTCCCATTCCGTGGTTTTGCCAATCCTTAAGGCCATAATAGTTGACACCAATACCTCCCAAACCACCGCTCATTACACCGGTATTTAATCCTTGAGTCGCGGCGACTGAACCGTAGTTAAAACCACCGCTTTTATGGTCAGAGTTTTGAGAACCGCTCGACAATTGCGACGACCAGTCGGAAGACCAGCCGTTCTGTCCGTCCGTTGAGTGTCCCGATTGGCCACCAATTATAGCCACGATTGGGTGACCATTAAAAGTGTCCGCCACTCGATGTCGGCCCTCATTGTGGGCCAACTCGAGACTGCCTTTAAACTGTCCGGCAATGTCTAAACCGCTCGACTGGTGCCCATTGGCGCAGCTCTGGGCACCGGTGGTCACACCTCCCAGAAGTTGGCCCACAGATGCTGAGCTCAACTGATTTCTGATTCGTTGACTGATTCCAGAGGTCAGACCATTGCCGCCAAAACCACCGCTTTGGACGCCTCCGCCGCTAAACCATCCGACTCTTCCCAATCCACCGCCAAATGACTGCCCGTTTTGTCCAAATTGATAGTCATATGCGGATTGTCTGCCCGATAGACCCCCCACTCCTCCGCCACATCGGGGCTCAATCACTGCCGCCACTGATAGGCCTATCAGTCCTGTAATCACTAATAATTTGTACATTATTTTTAAAAAATAAGTTTTGTTTTCCACAATATTTGTATTTAACTGTTAATATCAGTCAAAATTGTTTGTTTAATAAAATTTTATTCATAACTTTTGCTTTTATACCTTTTTTGGGCAGATATTTGTCTGCTCTTTAGTTCCGTCTTTGAATTATTTGAATAATTATTATTTATTTAAACAATAATCATTTATTTATAGATCTCATTATTTAAGTGCTCTTTACTTATACTTTTATATAATATAAATTATATTAATAACAAATATATAAAACACATGCTATTTGACAATTGTATATAAATAAATGTATACTTTTTTTAATGAATCATAATGATTTAATTATATTTTATATAACATTTAAACATTCTATACACATATTATATAATATATCATTTTTAGCATTTGTATTCAATTAATTATTACTACAGTTTATGCAAAAACAATATGATCCTGATAAATAAATTTAAAAATGTTTTTTACCATAGAAAAATTTTTAGATAGCAATTGCTGCCGGATTTATTAGATCCTATTATTTGTATTATTTAATAAATAAATAAATTAATTAATTTTAATGTTAAACAACATTACATGCAATAGCTATACATAACTTTGTGTACTATTAGCGTTGCCAAATAATATTTTAAAAATTCTGCATAAATGTTACAAATTGCCAAAAATTCCTGTATTTTTCTGTACAGCTTATTTCATTACAACAATAGAATAATTATGACAACATGCTATATAAATAAAGAAAAATTACCAAGAACACTACAATTAAACAATTTTCAACCCAGCTTAAACTTTTATAATTATCAAGGTTTTTATAAGCGGAAAGTTGTCTCGTTTCTAGCGGTGAGTATATGCGCTCTTCAACGGACAATATGGCCCCTCTGGCGCCGGACCACGAATGCGGCCCTAACATACAAATTAATTACAAAACAATATGGTTATTTTAATACTTAATCTAATATAATACCTTCAAGTCGATATTGGTAGGGCAATGCGGGGCCAAACATAAGCGCCCGCCACAACTCTCTGTCTTGAAAGAAGTACTTCAAGAGATTGGGTTTAACGCCCACGTGTTGTGCCAACTCGTCCATAAAGTTAAGCCAATCAACTTGAATGGTGTGCCGCTCCGACTCGTAGTATCGCTTCATTGCGTGCTGTTTTACAGCGATGTCGGCTAACATGTTCTGACGGGTGGGCAGCGATCGCTTACCCGCCATAAGTTGGGCGAACCATCGGCACTGCATTTCTCCGATCGGCAGCGTTGCACCGAGGGGTTGTACTAACGATATAAAAGCCAGTGTCTTGGGATGTTTCAAATCAGGCGGGAAAACGTATTTAAACAGTTCAACCTTGTTGTTTGTGGTGCGAATCAGATCTTGCGATATGAATGGGAATTTCAACTTATAACCGGTGGCCATTAGTACAACATCGCATGGGATCTCCTTACTTTCACCTATGGTTAATAATTTAATAAAACTCAAGACAAACTCTGTAAACACTAGCCTATTGGTATGGTTGAAGTTAAAATTGCTATTTAAATCTCAACATGTAATGCCTTGTTTTTAATAAATAATAATAAAATATAGACTAAGAATCGTCACAAATTTAAAGGGCTCTAAACAAAATTGACGTGATTTTTTATTAACCTTGTTAATATGTAAACTATTATTCATGATAAAAATTACTATTAATATAGTCATCGCCCTGTGTTTAGAAAGAATGATTCATAAATATTTTTAAACCCCACCACTCATATTACTGTCTGATGATGTTATGAATGAAGTATAATTTACAAAGCATATTAAAATATTATTTCCTCAAGTGCTCCTAGACGATTGCTAATATAGACAAGAAGCCTTTATTTTAAATACAAACATACTGTAATTATATCTACACAGCCGTCACCCAATTTATCAAATTTTGGTTATATTTTGATTTATTTAAATTTAAAATGCAAATGAATAATCTCGTAAATGTATATGGTATATGTTTTTATGTACTTATATCTATTGTATCTAATTCCAATGTGATTGGTCTCCTAACTACCCGTCGGAAAGCTCTGGACAAACATATTTAAAACATGAAAATGATAGAGTTATCATTTTCAAACATTAATTGCTCAGGCCCCTGAATTAGGAATTGATTGAATTTCATTTGCATTTGTTTGGCATGAGTTATAGATTAAGATCATATACTAATCTTATTTAAATCCTGATAAGTTTAAACTTCAATCTAATTCTGCAAAAAATTAGCCATTTTGCAAAATTCAAAATTTTTTAATTGTGAAATTTTTTAAATAAAAAATGCATTCACAATAAACCAATTACGGTGGCAATACATTGTCAAATAAACTACACGTGACCGTGTTACTTTCTTTCTCGGTGTACAACATCACTCCATTGTGATCAAATTAGTTACCAAACCACATATTAGAAAAATGCTTTAAATTTAATTGAAATGTTATATAATTAAAATCAATCTGGATTAAAGTTAAAATATAAGTAATGACTATTAGCTATAAAATTTTTGTTAAAATTGTTTTATTATTTTCGAAATAAACAGTGGCCATTCTCTAAAAGTATAAATAACATGGATATTTCATTGGACATATTGGGTGACGGCTCTGTATAATAATTAATAACGAGTACAAACCATCACAATAACTGTTACCTCGTTCTCTCTTGTTTTCTATCCCGTAGATAGTTTTTACTTCCCTCCCACCTCCTTATTGTATGTTACTGGTATTTTGCATATGTTATTTACAATTAAATAATAAATACGATTAGTTGTATAACTTACCCGCAAAGATAACCCCATGTGCGGTGAACCTATTAATATCACCCTTCACTACAACAGTGCCGGAGAGTATACAGTTTGGAAGGGCGTCGTTCACAAAGACGTTTTGCGATAGTATCCGGTGTTTTGGCTTTAACTGATATTTCTCGTGATCAATACGCCTATTGGCAACGCTTTCCAGTATTGTACATAAAATATTGTAAGGTAGGTATTTAAACAGTACGTTTGTGTGACGTCGAATAAAACTAATGTCCGATGGTAGGCCATACGGACCCACACGGTTTGATATCCATGTACCCCGACGGGTTGACAGATAAACCTAATCAAATTAAAAATATGTATACCACGAAATCTTGTGCATTACTCGAGGGTTATAGCAGAAAATGTTTTATTTTATAAAAACAATATAATATTCAATCATAGTAATAGTGTTTAGGAAAAGTTATTATTTAGAAAATTAAATTAGATCTGTCTACAATTAGTTGTAATTAAAATTTTCATGAGATTTTTTATATTTATCTAGATAATATTAATAATCTATTTAGATAATAAACTTATGTTCACTCATCATAAAAGTTTGCAATAATGATATGACATCAGTAACAATTTTTAACAATTATTAAAATTAAATTTTTTTATAATTAAATTACAGTTTGTTAATAATATATTTTTAACCACTATTCTGATATGAATAATGTGGTTTATAGGATCGTTCTGCCCCCCAGCCATCCGCTCTATGAGATTTAACATGGGATTACAGCTAAAGTCTATGGCTATACTTTAACATGGGTTATGCTAATCCTATGGATCTTTTTCCATAGACTTAACATGGGCTAATGTTATCCTATTGGTAATGTTAATCCTATGGGAGACTATTTCGTATGGGAAAGCGAAATATGAAGGGACAGGGTAGTTTTTCTCCATGTTAATCCTATGAGACTAATGTTAAGTCTATGGAAGAATGCTTTAACATGGGTTTCTATGGGAATACAGCTTTAGTCTATGGCATAGGGATAACATGGGTAATGCTAAGTCTATGACATAGGGATAACATAGGTAATGTTGAGTCTATGGAAAATGATAAGTCTATGGGACTAATACTAATCCTATAAATTAATGTTAAATCTATGGACAATGTTAAGTCTATGGGAAGTGCTAATCTTATGGATTCTTATTTAATGTGTAGATAATGCTAATCTATTCTTTGAACATCACCCGAATAGTGATTAACGTATAGCATCGCTGTGTGTTCCTTGTTTAAGTTTTCTAAGTTAGAATAATATATATTAGATTAGGGTAGGTTTAAATAGTTATTTTCTCTAACGAGTGTCATAGATCAATACGAAATACATATATAAACATGGAATCTCAATGAGTGTATTTCTGTGCATTTGCCCGCATTATAGGGCAACAGTCTTTATAATCAATTTATTGTTATTTTAAAACACTCAAATATGTCGTTACAAATAAATAGAGTGGTGGTTGTTTCACAGCAAAACAAATTCAATCTGTGAGCAATATTTTGTAAACTAATGTAATTGCATTTGTGATTAATGTTTAAAAAATTCTATAATACAACAAAAATACTGTTTAGTTTAAAACTTTTTTTGAAAGCTTTTTTTGAAAGATTCGATTTACTGTATATAAACATTAATAATATTGGATCAAATGAAAACCTAGTTTTTTCACTATAAAGCCGTGTAGATAGAATTCTGAAGTTAGTATTATAATTTACATTGACATCTCTAAGAATCTAAGTTTCATCAAATTTGGATAAATAATAATTAAACAGGATCATTTCAAAGTTTGTCAATAGCAATTATTTTAGAAAATTGACAACATAAATTATGTTACATAATATTTGACTAAAACTTATCTCATTTTAAAGTGAATTTGTTTTACTTAAGATGTGTTTGAAGTGATTATTTAGTTATTGAGATTCACTATTAGTTATCTGACAACAGTTTAGTATAGATATCATGACATCATTTATAACGTGAATCAATTGCGAACCCTTAAATCGGGTTAATCACTGATTTTTGTGTGGCCACAGTTGGGGTATCGGTTACTGTTGACCAATGAATAGTATATTGTTATATGCATTGAAAAACAAAGATTTCAGAAGATTAGAGGTTTTGAATTATTTCTATTAGTATTGGAACATGATAAATTTAAGTATGATTTTAATCATCGGTAAATACAAAAACGGACTTTTGTCCATAGAAATACATTAAAATAAATAACAAACTTTGTAAAAATTCTGTTCATAAACTATTCATCCGATCTTAATGAAACTTGGATTCTGGTGACTTTGGATGGCAACTTAAATCATAAAACTAATTAAACAATTCTGTTTACACGGCTTAATAGTGAAAGAACTAGCTTGTCATTTTATTCAATATATAGGTATTAATATTACATACTTTATCTGACACTGAGGACAGTTCAACAGCAACGTCGCCGCCAGAGTTCCCGATCCCCACAACCACTACCTTCTTGTCAGTGTACTGATCGGGCCGTTTGTATGAGTGTGTGTGTGCTATCTGACCAGTATAGAGATGCTGATCTTTGAATGTCGTTACCTGTGGCTGGACATGATGTCCCGTGCATATCATTACACCATCAAACACATACTCAGTAATTTTGTCCGCATTCGTATGATCTCGTGCGGTTAATTTCCACCGCCCGGTGCTATCATAGTCACCGTTCGGCTCCAATCCAATCACGTCGTGGCGTAACTTAACGTACTTCTCGTAACGAAAGCTCTCGCCATATAAATCAAAATATTTTACCTAAAATATACAATTATCTTTTTGAACAATTCAATTTATCAATGAGTTTGAAATACAAATTTTTATAATCATTAACACAGGTTAAATAATTATTAATAAAATTATAACTATTAACATTAAATTATTATGTTACATTAAATTACAGTCATTTGTATTCATTTTTTGCATTCATTATGTTTATATTGTTTAGTAAATTTTCCGGGAGATTCCTTGAGATTTTCTTTAAAAAATTTGATTCATATATTGAAATTGCAAAATAGTTTTAAAATGTTATTAAGATTTAATAATTATCACCGTATATACCAAATTAATTATAATTAAAAAAATTTTAAAATATATTTTGAAGTACTAAACAATTAGATTTCATAGATTAGTATTTTATCATTACCATCTTTGTGTTGTGCATATAATTAGGAAAATCTTTTGGCGGCGGAAAGTCAGAAAAGGCTGTCATCTCTTTACTGGAGTTAATGATCGTAGACTTGGCCACAGACGCCACGCCATCGATGTTCTCGTCGTGGTATCGCCACAAACCACCCGTATATGAGTTCTTCTCAAACACCATCGGCTCAAAGCCCTCTTCTAGGCATGCCTTGCATGCCATGGAACCCGACGCACCTCCGCCTATAATACCGATCCGTATCTTTTCACCAGACATTATTATAAATACACAAATTAAAAAGCATGTTATAGAATTTATATAATTTAATATTAATTAATTAAACAGTTATTAGATATTTTTATAACACATGGGTTATAATTAATATAATAATAATTTCCTAAAATATTATTAATAGTATTTATCTATTAATTGTAAACTCAAAGAGAATTTGTTATGATATGGGCAATATGCCGACATTTTATATCGAGATATAATCGACATTTAATTTCATGTATTATTTGGATTTTAATACCGAATACTTTTTGAAATAAGGTTACAATGAATGGTAATATAAAGCAATACATACTATATAAGGGGGCAGTCAATTAATTCCCGGTGTGCGGTTTTCGTTATATCTCTTAAACTAAAAGAGATAATTTAATTCTGTAAACGGCATTCAATAGAGGCATATACGCTGCATGTTTTACATAGCCGGTAAATATATTTTGGTCACGTGGTATACAAAATATGGGACAATTCGGAATGGTCATATTATCGGTCTAACAGTTAGAAATATAGATATGGTCCCAATGTATGATTTATAGAATGATACAAGCTGTATTATATAAAGAAAGAATTATTAAAATTAGATTGAAGTTATTCACATAACAGCTTAGCAAACTAGGCCAATTTTGCATGTTAACCTATGGATATGACAAATAATATTGTATTTTAATATAATTGATTATATTTTTGAAAACTATATTCAATGCTGATAATGTTAGCAAAAGAAATTTTTAAAAAATATTATTCCAAAGACAAAATATCTTTAATTGAAATATTGAGTTTTCTTTAGTTTTTATGTTTAAAACTGAATATGTTAATTTAAGATATTTTATCTTTGGAATAAAATTTTTTAAAATTAACCTAGTTTGCTAAGATGCTATGTGAATATTTTAAATCTAATTTTAATCATTTTTTCAATATATAATACACCTTTTATCCTTCTATAAATCATACATTGGGACCATCTCTATATTTCTAACCGATAATATAACCATTCCGAATTGTCCCATATTTTGTATACCACGTGACCAAAATATATTGACCGCTATGCAAAACATGCAGCGTATATGGCTCTATTTAATGCCGTTTACAGAATTAAATTATCTCTTTTAGTTTAAGAGATATAACTAAAACCGCACACCGGGAATTAATTGACCGCCTTATTATAATGTTGTAATATTAAATTTCAGATTAAAATTCAAAAATATTATTCAATAATTATAAAATATCAACACGTTTTATAACTGAGAACTGTATATATTACTTATTTACAATAAATTAATTTATTTTTTAAACCTTAACTTATTTACGCAACAATAAACTTATGTTTTAATGTGCACTAGAATTATAATTAAAACCACCTCACGATCAAATTCTCTCTCTCTCTCTCTCTCTCTCTCTCTCTACTCATTCATTGAGTTTTTCATTTACATTAAATTAACATTGACTTCAATTATTAGACAAGGTTCATACAGCGATACTATACGCAAATCATTATTTCAAGTGATGTTAAAAATTAAATTAGCATTATCTAAAAATTATCTTTATAGCATTATACTGCCGGCAAGACCGTTATGGCCTTATGCAATACTGACTGTAGTCAATAACCAGCACTACTGAGCAATGTTTGTAATTAGCCAGACATTGAGTGATAAGCAGATAAATGCACTGTCAATGCTTGAGAGTAGTATTATATATGCTATAAACATTCTGTCCGTCATTATAATTCTCAAGGTATTTTGCATCTATTTAACAATTTAAAACCACGATTTGTTTTTGCATTTTATATTTTTTTGTGAAAATGTGTATTTTGAGATCAGTTAATCAAAAATATTGAAAAACCGTATTACGCCGGAAATAGATGCATGCACTTATAAGTGAATTTCACAAACACAATGACAAACCATTATGCTCATGAAATAAAAATAATACCAGGATGTTATTATGTAAATCTATACAATAACAAAAAATGTAAAAATTATTTTTGTAAGTCAAGACATATTGTAACTGGATTATATTATAGTACAAAAATTCAAAATCAATTTGTGAGATAACTAAACAAGATATTTTAAAAATTCCAACGGATTCATGAATTAAATGTGAAGTAGTATAAATATTATAAGAATGTATTTATTAAAAATTAATTTTAACAATCAAAAATCACAATTAAATGACAAAATGCTCGAAATGAGTTTCTTGCCAAGACATTACATATATCAATATATATATCATATGAAAGATATTAAAAATTATACAATAATATGCAAAGAAACTTTATGTAATAAATTGGCTTGATGGTAATTTCGAGAATTTTGTAATTTATGGTGAGTAAAATTAATTTTAAATGAAAACATTCTTATAATATTTATACTACTTCACATTTAATTTATGAATCTGTTGGAATTTTTAAAATATCTTGTTTAGTTATCTCACAAATTGATTTTGAATTTTGGCAAATTTCTGACTATCTAAAAAAATTCTTGACTTAAAATAATAATTTTTGTATATTTATTCTTCATTATTAATGCTTTAATCATGAATAAATTTTCATACAGATCAGGCGACATTTTCTAATGTATGGTCATTGTCTTTTGCTTGTAACCATAACTAAAGCACGTATACCCGTATATAAGTGCACCCCTTGTGTAAGAATCACATATATGTGCACCAACATTATTGCAAATGTACAAATACTTCAGGCATCTAATCATTGTTACCCATGCCTTCCCATAAAGCGGAAAGGGGCGGAATATTTTATAAACCATATTCTTTATTTCTGAATTGTGGTTTATAATGTAATTGAAAATTATATAACGTACGTTACTTGTACATAGCGTTGCCAGATATACAGGAATGACCTGTATTATACAGGAATTAAGAAATATTGCAGAGTACAAGTAGGTGTCATTCCTGTACATTGACAAATACAGGAATAAATATTTTAACAATAAACTATAAAAGTATAATAATATTCAGATTTGTAAATAATAATAGTCTTGTACACTTACAATCTGAACTAATGCTAGGAATAAAAATAAATTAAACATAATTAACTCAATTATAAATACATTGTATAAACACTCGTATTTTTGCAAAAGTATAATTCTTTGGAAATTGTATGAATTTAAAGTTTTGCTTTACAAACAATAAACTACAAAAAAAATACAAGAATTTTTGGTAAAATTTGCACAATTATACAGGAAATTAACAATATTTTCTGGCAACGCTACTTGTACATTATATAGCTAAAGTAACTAACTTTACATTGGCATAGAAAGTAATATAATATTACTAATATTGTTAATATTAAATTACAAATATATTAATATAATAATTAAGTAATTTATTAATAACATAAGGTTTTACCATTTAAACAACAAAGTTTTTTAAAAATTATATGATAAGTGTAATTATAAGCTAATCATGGATGTTGGAGCTAAAATCACCAGAAAATCACCATGGGACAACTCAAACGCTGTTCAAAAGCTGATATTTTCGTTAGTATTACAAATATTTTACTTTTAACATATTGTATATTTTATTTAACAAATAATTTAATTTATAATGATTTTACTAACCATAGGTGGATGTATCCTCTATTTGTGAAGGGTATGCGAAATAATCGTTTGGATTTTGATGACATGTATCGGTGTTCACAATACGACACCTCTAAGTATTTGGTTCAATGTTTAGAAAGGTTTTGCACAAATATTACTTAATTCATTTTTTAATTTGCACGTTATTCTTTTATAAAATATGAAAAATTATATTGGCTTAATGGAAAAGTAACAGGACTGATTCAATAGAAAATATTTTTAAGTAAAAATAACAATAATTTTTTCAATTAAGTTTAATATTTTATCGATATTAATAGCCGTTGATAACCAGATTATTCGGACAAATTTTCATTTAATTCCCGATAAAAATGGCTGCCCTGAGAGTCAAAGAAGTAAGTGGTGTCTGTTTCGACCACTACTTTTGTTTAGCATTTTTCACCCCTAAAACATGACACGAGAGAATGGTATTAACAGTCATGTGATAGTGGAATAACTGGAGTATATGGTGGGTGTGGAGACATTTGTCACTCAAAGTCCTCTAATTTTTTTCGGACGATTTTCGAAAAATGTGGTCTAAAAATAGGCCAAAAATAGCCATATTTTGAGCATATGTCTAATTATCGGCTCCGGACACCGCGGTAATCGCTTTTAATTAGTCATATATTGTTGGTCAGTGAAAGCACATAATGACCAATCATTTTATATATGAATGTCATCCTAACCTGTGTAGGGCTATTAAACCGTGTACTAAAAGGTGAAAGGCCCCAGCCGGGCAAGCCCACGCCAAAATCACCTGTATTGGTTATCCATATCTGAATAATTTGTTAAATATTGTAACTAACCTAAATAATACATCACCTAAAACTGATACATACAAAAACACTCAGTTAAATGATTAGGAGTACTCATTGTAGATTTTATCAAATTTAGAAATTAACACAAGCCATAGCACAGAAGCCCATTTTAGTTGTGAAGTACCTTATTTAAATTATTAAAAAAAACATAAATGTAAACACATTAAACACATGTATTGATGAGAGTTTGAACCGCTGACCTGGCTCATAACAAAAAAATTTTAGACCGGGTCAAACATAACCTTACTATAAAGTCCACTTATATAAACATTAAGCTAATAGCACCTACCAGGGTTAATTATACATTATCATAAATGACAATTATGCATCATTATTAATAAATTATTTTATATTATTAGACGAGGCTTATTCGGCAATTTACCAGAAAAGTTGTGGCCAACGGTTCCGAAGTGTACGAAAACCCGACAGCCGTCACAGTTGTACATATATTTCAGCGCTCAATGCGAATGACCGGCAAATCTGTGGTCATAATCGAGTCGGGCGTCGGCGATAGACCAACGCCAGTCAACTGTACAGTAATCGCAAACGAGGTTAATGACTATTACAATGATGGTAAAAT